TAGTGTAAATCCTAAAACAGGTGCATTGATTTTTAAAACAATCTTTCCCAAACAGGTCTTAAAATTTCACCACTCCTCAAACCGTGGCCCTCATCAGAATGTGCAGGGTGGGTTTTGGCCATGAAAGATGGCTCCTCTCTCTCCAGCATAGCTAAGTTCTACATTAGCTTGCAATGCCAAAGAGATCTGTACTCTGGTCTGGGGCTGCCATGCTCTGCAATCCCCGGGGTGGGGGTAGGGGGGGGTAGGGTGGAGGCTCACCCAGACATTATTCCAGTCTCATTGACTTTGGACCAAGGTACAGGATTAGTTCTGGTGAAGGATGGGAGGTGAAGCTGAGTATTTTACCAGCCATACTAAACTTTTTTACCACATAAAGAGAATCACTCCAAGACTCCAGCAGTCCACAGACCGTCCATATCCAGCTGTTCCAGCAAAATTTAGAATCTCTGGAGCTAGGTAGTCAGGAGTGCCACATAATGTTTGCATAAGAGAAGTTTCTCCAATGATCTTGGATTGCCCAAAATCTGTAATCTTTTATAAAGAAAGTTGAGAACAGTTGAAATAAAACTTGTTCTTGTGCCTGTTCAATCTCATGAGAAATGTACATCTTACTTTGTCCTCTTGATATAAAAGGAATTTGCACAGAGGGGAAGGCAGTTCCTTACTTACCTTGACAAGGCAGTTCTCTTCCCTAGATGATAAAAGCACATTCTCCAATTTCAAATCCCGATGAATTATGCCATGTTTGTGAAGGTACTTTGCAGAATACCAAAAAGGGGAAGAACCATAGAATAAATAGACTTAAAAAAAAAAGAAAGACAGGAGTCTGGTAGCCCCTTTTCAAACTGACATGGTTTACTTTTAAGGCATAAGCTTTGGTGGTCTGCTGATTACTATTCACTGCTATTCACAGCTCTGTTTAACTTCTGTTTGTGCTTTAAGCCATAAATTACCTATCTGAGAGCTCCCCAGGGGTTAAACACCCCCCCCCCATTCCTTCTTGATGTAATGCAGGGGTATCAAACTCACGGTCCATGGGCCAGATGCATCACGTGCTGGCCACGCCCACGCCCATCCCCAGTTTAGCGAAGAGGGGGAAAGTGATACATCATGTGATGTGACATTGCGAGTTTGACATCCTTGATTGTAATGCAAAGCATAAACCCACCTCTTAACCGCAAACCCAGCAAAGATGCCACAGAAAATACTGCAGCTGAGCCACCAGCCAAACTCCCAGTTCATATTGTCACAATTACCTGCACAGCCAACAACATCTGGTAAAAATAAAGTTTGCAAGTTTTTTCACTGAGCCGTGCTGGTCGCTGAACCTTGTCAAACAGTTCCCCACCTTCCATCCTGAAAAGATTAGAGGGAAGGTGAAGGGCTTTGTTTTCTTCCTGAGAAGCACATGTCAAGGTCATGCACGGAGACCCAAAGCCAAGCAGGAAAGGTAGGCTCTTCAGGTTGAAATTAGAAGAATTTACAGGTGACCCTAGCTGACCTGACCTGTTTCCTGGCTTGCTGGACCTCAGAGTTGTTCCAGTCACAAGCATTTGCGATCAAGGGATTGTTCACACCTGGATTGGGACACCTCACCTGGACCTCCAAAATCAGGTGCCAAGGTAATAAGCCTTCAAGCAGCACTTGGACAAAGACAGAGATGGGCTCTACTTCCTATAGTTAATTGGGCCTTGAGATACTATTCAATTCTTTTAGAGATACCTTTTCTTTCTTTTCCTTCACCCTTGCCAGCTCATCTTCTAAATATTGCTGTTTTCTGGGAATCCCGAACGCTCATTTGAATTGCAATGGGTCACAGACAGAAACCCAGAACTACAACTTACAATTCCAACACAATGTAAAAGTCTTTTCCTTCAAAGAAATCTATTATCTTGATTAGGCAAGGCTGCAGAGAAAAAGAAAGACAACATTCAGAAGTGACTCTTGCAAAAAGCATTTAAAACAGCAATTTTGTTTTGCTTTTAAAAAGAGGGATTGTGAATCCATTCGTACAGATACGTGTCATCTGATTAAGTACAGTATGCTCTAAAAAAAGAACATCAGAGTCTTTTTAAAACAAATAAACTTCTCCAGAAACCTTACCAGTAACTTAGTTCCAATCAAAAGAGAAGAGGAGCAAAACCAGTTCAGAATATGCTATTCGCTTTGAAGTGTCACTCACGTGGTTGATCCTCTTCAAGATCCCCACTTCTGTCTCAATGTTAAAGGGCTTGTTCTGCTGTTAAACAATGGAGCATCAAAATGTAAAGTCACCCTTGCAGTTTGAACTCATCTCTTTAAATGGAAACAATTTCAAAACAAAACAGGGCCCAAGATAGTGATAAGAGTGGCTGCTGTAACGAAGCAAAAATCAGAGGAAAAGAAATAAAAATGCCTGGGCTGAACTGAAAATTATAAGGGAGACAGTCAGACAAAGCAGCTCTTGTAGAAAAGCGCTTGGCTTTAAAAAGCGGGAACAGAAGCCGGCAAATGAAGCTTATTTGTGCAGCAAAGCTGTTACCATCCCTTTTCTACAGGACCGTACCCATCCATTGAGTGGTTGGGGGGGCAGTTTGAGAGCTTGGTTGAAAAATTATGCATTTAGATAAATGTTTTAAGTCCCTTGGTCTTACAAAGGGGTTCCCTCAAGGCGGAGGGCGAGGGGTTTGAGCAAGATAACAGACCAGTCAACATTTTCTTCCTGCATCAACCTCTAGTGAAAAACACACATGGAGTAAAGGCATGGAGGCTACACAGAGTCCACAAACACCCAGCCAGATAATGCACAAATATGTTGCATCAACAGACAAGGAGCAGCCTATATAATCAGGGAAGCAATACTCCAGGATACAAACAAAATGGAAAGACTTACTGTTTCTGGCAAAACGTCAGTCATAAACTTTGATTTCTTTATGATTTTTATGGCAACTTTCCTATGGGTGTCCCTTTCAAAGGCCAACTTCACCTCTCCACAGGCCCCACTAACAGAAATAGAAGGAAATGTTGCTGTGGTGCCTAGCAGTCTTGTTCTCACTTTCCTCCCCACCCCACCACACACCCCTGGGCCCAGGGGAGACTCAAGGGCAGGCCCACAGAGACCAGGGGCAGCTATGGGCAGCTTTAGCTTAGCTCTCCGGCCTCATCTGGTTCTCCTATGATCTATTCTGCCCAGACAGCATGAGAGCAGCTGAAGCCGATGCAGAAAGATGAATTTAAAATTTTCCAGCTGAGGGAGACCCATGCTGAAACCAACCTGCCTCCCAAGAAAGGGATCTTTCCCACCAACCTGCCCAGCCTCTTTGAGACGATGTATTTCTTCTGCATTTCCTTGGGGTATTCCAGCTGATGCCCGGCGTCCAGGTCAAAGAACATAAATACTGGGAAAGCAGCAGAGAGGGCACTCCTGTTACAAATGGCACAATGCCCCTTTGCCCAACCCAATCATTGCCATGCCACACCACAGAGGTGGCTGAACATGGACAATGACTAAAGGGCAAGGCTATCTTCAGGGCCCGAGAAAACCAGCAAATGCAGAAATATTCAAGGCAAATTGTGGCCATCTAGTAGGAGCTTTTGCCCCCAAATATCTAACCGTGAGTCTACTTCATACCCTCACCCCTTTTCCTTAAAGCTAGATACTATCTGAAGCCTTGAGTATCTTGTCAGAACTTCCTCCTGCTCTGCTTAGACAGGCATTTGGAAGTGTAGTTGGCAGGGAGCAATTTGTGTGGGTGGGAGGGAGCAGAGCACAGTTTGTAACCCCTGGTGCCCGGGGATCCTGCCCCAGACACTTAGACTGCATTCCCTGCGCTGGATCACCTGAAGGGGGAATGGGAAGAGCCAGGAGGTGATCTTGCAGAGGCCCTGCCTCAATCACTTTGGTTGGTAGGGTAGGGCTTGGCACACTCTCTGCAGGGTTCCTGCCTGGGGTGCCCGCGGCATGCATTTATGTTTAGGTTGCATCGTTTTGGGGCAGAGTGGGATGGGTGTCCAGCCCTGGGCATGTGAGGTGTGCCAGGTGAGTTTAAGATGGCTTCCGAGTTTGCTCCGGCTCTGCTGCTCCAGAGAACAAATGTTGAAAGGGGTGCTGTGTACCTGTCACAAAAGTAGGTTTTCCGTGCTTCCTGCTTTTGGGCATGCCAAGCAAGGTCTGCCTACCTTTGTTGTGAGGCAGAGAAAGGGCAATTTTGGCCACGTGGGCCAGAGGAATCTTCCTGCCCTTGCCCACCAGGCGGTCATTGACAAAGGTCCCATTTGCACTTTGGTCTTCCAGGTAAGTCACAAAGCAGCCCCGAGGTCCCGGTTCCTTAGCAGAAGAGCAAACTTCGGTCAGCTCCCATCGACAGGAGGCAGCCGGCAGACCCAGCGCCCCAAGGGGGCAGCCCCCCCCCCAAGCCCAGGGGCTTACTCTAAAGATGCGGAAATGCTTTTTGCTGTACTGCCGGTAGGTTTCGTTCCTGGGCAGATCCAGCCCGGAAAAGCTGTAGTCGCAGCCGGGATCGCGGCCAAACCAGTACTCGTTCTTCAAGCAGACTGAGCGGAGAGAAGAAGAGCGGCTCCGCTCAGCCCGGGCAGAAGAGGGACACGAGGCGGCTCGCCCAAGTCAAGCGGTCCGTCCCGAGCCGCCTGCTCCCGCCCAGCCTTCCCTGCAGCCGCGCCAAAGCCCCCGGGCCGGCTACGCACCGCACTCGGGAAAGCCCCCGGCCAGGCCGAAGAGCTGTCCCCACGGCCGAGGTGCCTCCGCCGCCTCCGCCTCCTGCTCCTCGGGGATGGCGGGCAGGTCGTGCGCGGGGAGGGTCTCCAGGGAGCTGAGCGTGCCCGAGGAAGAGCTGTTCAAGGAGCCTGACGGCGGCTGGCTCGACTGCGTCCCGGCCGCCCGCGGGGGCGACGACTCCGCGTGGGACATGAGGCTGCAGCGCCGGGAGCCCTTCCGCGCCTCCTCCCCGCCTTGCGCCTGCGCGGGGCGGGGCGCCCGCCTGCCTGCCTGCTGCCTGCCTGCCTGAGCGGATGTGGCGGCGGGCGTTGCGCGCGGGGCCTCCGCGGCGGGCCCGATCCCAGGCGGCCGGGCGCTGCTGCTGGAGCTGCGGGGCCCCGCTGAGGGGGGAGGGGGCGGCGGGCCCCGGCTTTTGCCCCTCGTGCCGCGCCTTGCAGCCGCCGGAGCCCCGCACGGACCTCTTCGGGGTGCTGGGCTGGTGAGGGGCGCCCGGGGCGGGAGGAGCGGGCGGAGCGGGCGGCGGGCGGAGCGGCTCCCGTTGACGCTCCTTCCTCCCCGCAGCCCGCGCGGCTTCTCCCTGGACTTGGCCCGGCTCCGGCAGCGCTTCCTGGCGCTGCAGCGCTCGCTGCACCCGGACCGCTTCAGCCGCCGAGCGCAGGTGGGAGCCGGTCGAAGGAGCCCCGCTGGGGCTGGGCTGGGAGGGCCCGAGGCCCTTGACCCCGCGACGGGGCGGGCGCCGTGACCACCCCTCCGTGCCTTGCAGGCCGAGCGCGGCTTCTCGGAGCAGCACGCCGCCCTGGTCAACCTGGCTTACGGCACCCTCCGCAGCCCGCTCAGCCGCGGCCTCTACCTGGTAAGGCGGCGGGACGGGGCGGCGAGAACGGGGGCGGCGGGGTCCATCCTGAACCGCGGCCTCTGCTCCCTGCCAGCTGGAGCTGCGCGGAGTCGAGTTGGCGGCGGGCAGCGATGCGGAGGCCGAGCCCGACTTCCTCGCCGAGGTCCTGGAGCTGAACGAGCAGCTGGCGGCCGCGGATTCCGAAGCGAACCTGCCTGGGCTGGAGCGCCTTCTGGCAGGTCGGTGGGAGCCTCTGCGGCCTCGGGTGGCGGGAGAGGAGGGGAGGCTCCTCTGAGCTTTCCTGCGAGGGGCCCGAAGGCTGCGGGGTTTCCTCCTCCTCCTCTTCTCTCTTCCAGCAAAGCAAGAAGCTCTGGTGCAGGAGGTGAGCAGGGCCTTCGAGCAAGGTAGGAGGAGACCAGGTGGGCGGGAGCGTTGGTTGGTCTGGCTGCAGGCAGGCAGGGGGCAGGCAGCTCAATCCCACTCTTGGCCCTCCACACAGCCACGCAGGTTCCTTAGCAACAGCTATTTATCCTGCTTTCCTTCCTCGAGTTTTTCCCTAACTTCCCAGCGTAGTAGTACACTGGGCCTGGGGATTTTGGCATCTGTGCTAACTTTTTAAAGCTTGTTCTGGTCTTGTAATTTCAGATGACCTTCACAAGGCCAAAAGACTCTTGTGCAAAATGAAATACTTTGCGAACCTAGAGGAGAAGGTGAAGGAAAAGAAAGCCCCTTCTTGATCCCTCACCCTGTTTAGGGCAATCTGTGATGCAGTTTGGCTTGTCACTTCCTTGACACCAAGGAGCCATTTGGAGACTGAGGGGGGCGGGCAGGTTCTCTGCTTGTGGGCCAGAAAGAGAAACGGCCTGTGAGGGAGACCACAAATCAAAATAAAGGCGCTCTGGGGATCCATTTCAGTTTGTGTGTATGAAAGGGGCTTGGCCAAGATGGCACCTACTTGCATCTCTCTTGGTGGAAGCAGGCCGACCATGCTTGGAGAGCCCTTACTGCTCTGCAGGATGGTAGGCATGAGGGCAGGGAAGGGGGCCTTTTTGTCCTACCCTTAGCCCTGCAGCCGGGAGTCTAGGGCATGCTAGGGTGGATTCACAGAGGTTGCCAGGACTAAAGGGGCATGTGGCCACTTGCCCAAAACTGTTCAGGAAAGTTTCTCGTAGTCACATGTGCCCTGATTGCCATTTGAGTGACCAAGCCCTGGAGCCACACCAGGGCTGAAGACTGGCTTTGCTCAAGGACTACCAACAAGATGTGGGGTCCCCTCCTACTGGCAGTGGGGTTCTCACAACTCTGATAATTTTTCCATGTTGTGCATATTTATAAGCCTCTATTTCCTTCACATTTCCTAATTAAAATGCTGTGAGTTTTCATTCTGCCCAGAGTACTCAAGATCTTGCCATATTATAATATGTATGGCATCCTAACATGTATTCTCCAGTGTGAGCCTTTCCCTCTTGATTTTCTCTCCCAACTGTTCCTGTTTCTAGCATGCCCCTACTGTGTGCAACAAGCTTGATCGGTGAATGGTGTTTTGGAGGCCAGCTGCCATGTCGACCCTGCCAACTTCACTCTCAGCAGCTCTTCCTGCATTCATCCCCTTGATGGCATGGCTCAGCTCTGTTCTAAATGTGAAGACAGGAGCCAGATGAGAAGCAGTCCTTTATTGAACAGGCCCTGCTCTCTAGAGGGGTGGGGGGGGGGGGTGGATAAGCTCGATGCACAGACTCCCCTGCCTTCCACCAGGGTCTGCTGGGTAGTTGGTGGGCTCCGAAGGGTGCAGCCCCTCTGGACCAGCTCCCAGAGAGCCTCTTGGGGTGGCGTCTTCATTGCCCAAATCCAAACCAGCTCTTAGACCTCTAGGCAAAGCTGCTCTCTCTCCTGTGATTCTTCGTCCAGCTCTTTGGCTCTCCTGAAGTTGAGCTTGTGAAATTCTCTCTTAATTTCTAGAAAGGTTTTGTTGCTTGTCTCAGGAATAACACAGAAAACGAAAGTGGCCACTGCGCTGCATTCTAGCAAAAACACAATGAAGCAGTACTGCTTCAGGCCTTTCTGAAAAAAACAAAAAGGTAAAATGTGAATGACCAGGAAAAGCTGCAATGACTCCCATACCCATACCCTCAGGGCAAGTTGGACTAGTGTCAACTGTAGTCTTTGGCTATAGCCAACCAAGCTTCCTGTCCTGGTCCAAACATCACCTCAAGCTGTATGGAGGGGGGAATGTCATTGAAGGCACACCAGGAAGCAGCAGGCATTCCTATTTCTGCAGTTGTATTTCACAAATTATGTTTTCATTAACCTGCTTGTCAAAGTTCCATACTGAAATTAAGAACGGCTTCTAACCGAGCAGAAGGGAGACTTAGCTGTCCCACAACCAAAACCTTTCTGGTCAGAGATGCCCACCAATGGCATGATTTCTACCATAGCCTTTTTTGAGCCTCTTTCAGCTGCCACCTTACTATGCTTCCTTGCGCTTCGCTGCTATGCAGTGACAGACTGTCGTGAACTGGGGGAAGGGAAGGGAAGAATGCTTGGGGAAATGAAAGCATTGCCTCAAGGTCACCCAGCTGGAAGGAGGAGAGGTCCACTTCCCAAACTATGCTTGGACTGACTGTTACGAAAACATCTTGTCTGAACCAGATTGTTTGCACTGGGGTGGGCAATGAGAGACAGTTAAAGGAGAGAAAAGTAGGGATTTTGGCACGAAATTTTCAGTTCTGGCTTTGCACTACTGCAATAAACTTGATCTTTAATAACATATATCCCTTTCCCAACAAATGGAGCAAGGGTCATTTTTATTTAGAGGTTTAAGTTGTGGCAGGTCTGAGACTTTCCTTGAAAGAGATGAGGGCCAAAGCAGATTCTTTTTCTCAGGTGTCAAGCTTCAATTCACTTCATGCCTGACTTTGGAGAGGAAATGTTTGTAGGCTGAATAATATTTAAACTTGGACCACCACTTGATCAAAAATCTAAACATCTCCACAAAGTATAGAGTCATAGAATCATAGGGCTGGAAGGAACTTTGGAGGTCTTTAGTCCAACCTGCCCTCGTGTGTCATTTCTGTATACCTTCAGAGGAAATGACAAGTCCAATCGGTCAATCCCTTGTGTCCCTTGGAAGCTAAGTCAACCACAAGTGATCAAAATAATTCAAAGCACAAGGCTGGAACCAGAGTTTCATGAAACTACCAACGTACCACAATAAAGGGGAAGAGCATGCCAACAGCGAAGAAGCTCAGCCAGCTCACTGATCCTGCAATGGTGTAAGCAGCAGGGCGTGAGGACTGCATGAACAACTCGGTCGTCAAAATGTTTGTCACGCCACCTGAAGGAAGGGGCCCTTGTTAGACAGAGGGAGTAGACATTGCAAAGGACGTAGGCCAGTTCAACCTTCTGTCAGGCATGGTGGGACATAAAGCAGAAAGCTAACAGATTATGAGTTTGTCTGTTGGGGGAAGTTGGCTTCAGGTCTATGCAGAAAGATGGATGAAGCTCATGTTTTATTCCAAAGCAGAGTAAAGAATTTCAGTAGCTGCCATCTTGGGCTCCTTGTCAGAAAATTTTTTGAATGGAGGTGTATGAAGACACCTTGTGTAAATCTATCTGTCCAGCGAGCACCTTGGAAAGTCATTCCCTACCCACCTCTTAACCGCTTAGGCAAGCATGCAAAGCAAATATTATAGTCAGAGCGGCATAAATGAATGTATGCAGTACCTCCAGGTCTTAGTTGGTGATTCTAAGGTTATATAAGAGAGACGTGTTATCCAGGCTGGAAAAAAAAAACCAAGCAAGAAGAGCTCCTGGTTTGGTCTCCCCCAAGTTAGGCCTCCTCAGCCTCTACAGGGCCCTGCAGCCTTGCATGTGTGAATTTCACTGTAATCATAAAAGAACAATACCTGGTCCAAGGCCAAAGCTCAAGATGAAGGCAAATATGCAAGCCATGCTCAGGTATGGTGCCCATGCATAAACCTGAGGAGAAAGCATAGGACAACAGGTTATATATTTCCTAACTAGTGGGAAAAGTCTGTGAGCCAAGGGGGGTGTGTGTGTGGCATGGCTGGTACTATGCAGGTGGTAGGTAATGGTCAGCATTTACAGCCACTGCTGCAAAAAGTCCTGCAGGTGGGTGCAGTGAGCCAATGGGTATGCTCACCCCCTGAGCTGGAAATGGGGAGGTTCCCCAATTACCTGGAAGGTCAGGGAGATGGTCAGGATGATGCACCAAAGCATCATAAGGCAGTAGCCTCCCAAGATCAAAGCTCTCCTCCCCAATGATTCAACTAGCGAGCCCTGCAGGAGGAGGAGAGTAAAGCCACTTGTTCACTCAGTGAGCAAACAATCCCTTTGTGGCCACACAGAAACCCTGAATTCTACTACTTACACAGATGAGGGCAGTGAGGCATTCACACATCCCTGTACCTAAAGTTACATAGGGGATCTTCTCGGGGGGAATCCCTGTCTCTGCAAAGACGTAACTGGAATAAAAGTAAATCTGAGAGAAAGTACAAAAAACTCAATGAGGAAAGACATTTCACTTGCCAACAGGGTCGCCAGCAGGGAACAGCTCTGTCCCGCGTCCACAGAAACAGTTTTGGATTGCAGCTCGCCACAAAGACCAAAGACTAAACTGCACGGCCACAGCTCTGCCTTTGAACTGCTGCCAGTGCTCAGGAAGGGATCCAACTCCCACAGCTGCTACGTGTCCCCTGTTATCTCGGCCAGAGGTGCTTGGAGAGCAGCAGCTGCTGCATGGAAGAGCTGAGCACCCATTCCCATCCTGTTTTTGGTTCCAAGCTGTGGGGGAATCTGGCTGCGGCAGGAGCTGGGCGGTGGCTCCTGCCAAAGGGTGCCCTGGCACTCACTGCGTTGATCCCACTGAGCTGCTGGCCCATGGTCAGACAGATGACTGCAATCAGCTGCCAGCGGATGCTACGGTCAGCAAAGAGCTCCCAGGGCTTTTTTGCCTTCTCCCCTCCGAGGGCAAAGTTCTCTCTCTGGATGTCCTCCAGCTCCTTCTGGTAGTGCAGAGGACCGTGGAAGCGCTTCAGTGCTGGGAGAAAAACAGGGTTCAGCCTCGGGATGGAGATCCAGGCCCACCTGAGGCCACTTGGCAGGTCTAGCAGGAGGTGAAGTGTCTGGAACCTCTGACTGAGGTTCACCTCCCATGGCTGTCGCTCTCCTTCCCTGGGTGTGGCTCTACTGAAGTGATGGGGACTGACTTGCTCAGAGCTCCTCCACCCCTAGTTTGTCCTGTAGACATGGGCGAGATTTGGGAGCATTTCTTTCTGGCTAAGGAGCTGCTGGCTTGGAGCTGCTCCCCGACCTGAAAGGATGTGCCCAGTTCCATCTTGGAAGTTTGGGAGGCATGGCTGCCAAAGGCCACAGCCCACTCTACCTTTGATGCCCTTGGCCTCGTCCCCTCGGTCTAGTAATGTGAAACGGGGACTCTCTGGAAAGCAGGGAAGGCTCAGGAGTTGGATTATGGCAGGCAGGCCACAGCTCGAGAGGAGGAAGGGCCAGTGTTCCTCTCCCCCCAGCAGCTCCCTGTGGGAAGCAGCACAAAGGCAGCTCTTCAGGACCCGAGGCAGCCAGCGGTTCCCTACACTGGGGCCCCAGTGACCCAGAGTTTGACACTCACCTTAGACCCATCACTTGCCCGGTCAAAATCCCTCCTGTCAGGAAGATGGAACTGCCCATCACCATGGCCCCTCGAAGGTGTCTGGGGGCAGCTTCACCTATATAGAGAGGCTGCACACAGAGTCCAATGCCTGAAAAAAGAAGAGGGTCTCAGGAGCAGTTTTCCCCCATCCATTTCCGAAAGGACCTGTAGCGGAGAGGCTGCCACTGACGGAAGGAAAGCACCACTGTCCTCAATGAACTGCACACCTGGTACAGGTTGGTCTTTCACATGAAGCACCCAATTCATTAATTATGGGTGGATCTTGGATGCAGTTTTCTGGAGACAAAATCCAATGCTTTACCTGTATTCATTCCGATCAGAAACCTCCCAACGATCAGCAGTTCGAAGAGCCCCGTTGGGAAGCTGGCCCCCATCAGGGCAGCAGCAAAGAGGGCAAGGAGGTTATTCACCAGCAGAGTTCCTTTCCTGCCAAAGGAGAAGGGAGTCAGAAGAGCTGAGTCACAGAAGGGAACCCAGGAGACCCCGGAACAGGCTGTGAGAAGGTCAGACAGCAGAAAAAGCAGCCGGCGACTCGGGGTTTTCAAATAGAGAATGTTTCCTCCCTGCATGGGCTGGTGCATGGCTGCCACTTGGTCAGGCTCACCACCCCTCCAGCCACAGCATGGAACCCATCCCTGCAATGACTCTTCCCTCCTCTGATGGGGCAGTTCCCAGGGAATGTCAAGTCAGGCCAGGCCCTCGCTCTTTGGCAAAGACAAAGGACAGTCCAGGGCCTGTCCACTTCCCTCAACTCTTTAGAGGAGGAGGAATTGCCCAAGAGCAAAGGTAGCACGCCTCTAGGAATGATTATGCTCACCTGCCCAGCCAGCCAGCCATGATGCCCCCAAGGTGAGCCCCAAAGAACCCGCCTAGGGAAAAAATAGAAGCAATGGTGGACCAGAGAAGAGTCAGTGTGCTGGAACTCAGCTTGGTCTGGTAACGGCTCTGCCAGGTATCATTGAGGAACTTGTGGATGTGCTGAAAACCCAAAAGGAGAATAATGTGGGTGCTTCCTACTTCCCATCGCCAGTATTGGGATAAGGCTGCCTGGGACACACATACCCTCAGTCAAGCAGAGGAGCACAACACTTTTGTCAGAAACGAGGCTAAATGAGTTGCTAGGAATCCACCTCTTCCCTTTCTTCTCCATCTTGGAGACCTAACTTCTGACATGCCCCACGTGCTGGCTGGGGAATTTTGGGAGTTGGAATCTCCACATTCTATAATGGCCAAGGTTGAGAAGCACTGAGCTAGAGATTCAGGGAAACACGTTCAGGGAACAGCTGCCATCCAAGGATCTAGCATGCCTTGCGCCCAGTGGCTAGACAATGGCCATGGACTCCTTCCACTTCCTCCAGAGGTCCTGGCTGCAGAGGTCCTCTTTCTGAGGAGACTCCTCACTCCTCTTCCTACATTCCCTGGGCTTGCTAGGTGCATCTCACAGAAGGAGCCCCGGGGCAGCCTCTGGATTTCAGGGCCGGTTTTGTTAATTATCTGTTTATTAGCCACCTGTCTGAAAACACATAGGGTCTCCTGCTTGAGCAGGGGTCCCATCCAGCTGTATTGGGATTGATCTCCTGAACTGCAGCTCAGCCTGTCAGTCTCCATCTCAGTGTGACCTATGCATACGCATGTGTTTAGCACATGCTGTTGTCCCTCCACGGTTACTTTTGTTTTTAATTGTCCTAGGAAGCATGAAACACTGCATTAAATCAATCTTGCACAGTTTAATTCGTGAGGGAATCATCTGAGACAGGAAGAGTCAGCTGCCTTGGCACCAGACCTCTTTGGCCTTGTTGCTCTGATCTTTACTCCAGAGAGGCTTCTCAAGTAGTGCTGGGGCTGGGGGAGGAGGAGGTGTTACTCTGGGACAGGATGGGATCCCACGGCTTGGCATTTCTCCCCAAAATGGTTAGATGAACCAGAATGGGGGACCATAGCAGAAGGGGGGGTCAGTTACCCCGATAGTGATGCCCACACAGTATTCCTGACAATGTGGCAGATATTTGCACCCATGTCTCCTGCATCTTATGTGGGTCCTGGCAGCCATTCCACACCTCCTGCCTTCATCATCAGGCAATGGACCTTGGGCATTTTCAGCCCAGCTGGACATGGAGCCTTTTTCACATAAATCATGGGCTATGAGAAGTCTATGCTGGTTCATGCACCCTTTCACCCTGCTTCCTCTGAGTTGGGTAAGTGTGAAGAGAAGAATCTATAGCAGAGCAGCCACAAACAGCCCTTCAAGATGCTTTGGAGGCCTTACCTGAGTGGGGGCACTGATAAGAGAAACATTGTATCCGTACTGAAAGGTCCCTCCAATGCCAGCTGCACACACGGTGCCAAGGAGGGTCCAGGTTGGGAGCTATAGAAAGAGGAAGTCCCAAATGCCATGGTCAAGGAGGGCTGACAACCATGAGCACCCCACTCTGGCTCAAACAAAAGTTGTTTGGGTTTGGCAGAGCATGAGATCGCCAGACCTGTTGGGAGCCGTGGGATGGATAACTGGTTTTTTAAATCTGAGCTATTGTTTCCCCCAGCCTAGGAAAACGCATCAGAAGAAAATCACAGCCTGTGGCTGGACCATCAGTAACAGCCACAGGTCTGAACTAATAAGTAGAAAGCCAATAAGAAAGTAACTGTCTATATACATTATTAAATGCTAAACAACAAATAAGTCAAAACAGAAACAAGCAAACAGAGCAAATAATAGTGGAAGAAGATCATGCTGTTATTTCTTCTCCCACTCTCTGTGGTCTGTCTTTCCCTATTCGGCAGCAACCTTGCCTTTTCATATGTGTGGGAAGCTCCTTTGGCCACTGGGGGATTTATCAGATGGCAGGCAGAGCAGGTGGTGGAGGCAACCTCCTTTTTACCAACAGCTAGAATATTTTTCAAAGGATAAAAGCCCAGCTGAAAAGGTGGCAGTTAGAGATATTCCCCCTTAGAAAATCCCAAAGCTTCAGCTGTTCCCAAAAAACACAGAGGAACTCATTGTGACACCTTTTCCTCCTGGCTAATCCATGGAAAGTGATACAGAAGGAACCCCAGAGAGAATTTGCAGAAGCCAAAACAGAAGGTGAGGCCTGCTTCATCATTGCTCTGATAACCAGCAAGCCTTCTATGCACCCCCTGCCCCCCAGCATTTCAAGCAACCATCTCCCCAAGAGCAGACAACAATCCCATGACACCTGCTTGTAATGATGCAGATGGATTGTCTAAAGTCACTCCCCAATCTTCTTTCCGGCATCCGTTTTTCTTAATGCAGAGACAATACTTACTCTGCCCCAAAGACCATAAGTACTATTCCTATCCACCTGGAGGCGCATCTGTTTTTTCTGGCAGGGGGCTGGTAAAAGCAACTGAAGAAATACACGACTGAGCTGAGAGAGAAAAAAAGAAAAGAGGTCACCAAGGACATCATTCAGGGCTGTAACAGTTCCTTATAAGAAAATGGGGCTGGGGCATTTCCCTTACAAGACAGCAAGTCAGAGAAGGTTACGCGGGGGAGAAAGGAAGAAATATTCCCAGGATGGAAAAACGGCATACACTGGCTATTCTTCCCTTCTTCAGACTGGAAAACCCATGGGGGACACCCAGGGGAACAAGACCAAGAGAGATCCCCGGATAAAGGGAAGCATTTCTTCGCAGAGCACATGGTTACGCTGGGCTAACGTATCTTTTCTTTCTGTACACTGAGAGTATTTGCACCAAGACGAATTCCTTGTGTGTCCAATCACACTTGGCCAATAAAGAATTCAATTCAATTCAATATTCTATTCAAGTCTAGTCTATATTCTAGTAGTCTATATTCTATTCTATTCTAACGCTGGTGCAAAGTGGGATGGCATGTATCTAGGTCTCAAAGAGAAGCTCAGCGCTTAGACTGTCGGTGCGCATCCAGTGATGAAGGTGCTAGAAATCGGGAGACCCATCTCATCTTAGCCGTGAAAGACGGCTGGGTGATGTTGGGACAGTCCCTCTCTCTCTCAGCCCCACCCCACCCCACAGGGTTGTTGTGGTGGGGAAATGAGAAGCATTAGGTATATTCACTGCCTTGAGTTACCTACAAAGTCATAAAGGCGAGGTAAAAAACAGATAAAGGGACAGAGCGGGCAGCTTTGATCGAGTCCACCCCACTGCCCTCCTAAAAGCCCCCAGCCTCGGTTAGGACCTGGCTGCGGGTCGCCCGAAGCACCAATGCTGCGGCCGCAGGTCGGCGCCGGTGCCTGGGAACGGGGCTGGAAGCTCCCGGAGACCCGCAGCCAAAGGGGACGGAGCTCTCCCAGCGACAGAGCTCCTCGGGCCGCTCGGAAAGCAACTAAGCGCTGTCCCGCCGAAGAGCAGCGCGGGTCTCGCCGCCCCCCCTTCACCTGGCGCCCGGGACTTCTGCGGGCTCCGGACCAGCGGACCAACGGCTGCCGCTCCATGCTCAACCTCCGAGCGGCTCGGGCTGAACACTGCCAGCCAAGGGACCAGCGCGCTTTATACCGCCCCCGCCCCCCCCCCCCCCACCCGCCACCTCCCGGCCCGCGCAGCGCCTACGACTCCCGGCAAGCCTCGCGCGCGCATCCGTCACCTGTCGGCGTCTGCGGCGCGGCTGGGTCACGTGCCCGTGCCCGAGCCCGCCTGGCGGCGGCGGCGGCCCCACCCCTCACAAAACCAAAGCGGAGCGGCCAGCACCGCCATGGCCTCCGGGCCGCTGCCCAGTTCCTTCCCGCCGCCGCTGGCCCCGCGGCCCCGCGCCCGCCGCCTCGCCACCCTGGGGCCGGCCAGACCTCCGCTCGGCGTGCGGGGCTCGTCGGTCAGCCCGACCAGCGCCCCGCCGCGCGCCTGGAGGAAGCACCGGATGGAGGAAGAGCCGGAGGGGTGAGCAGGGCCGGGCCCCAGGCAGGCAGAAAGGCAGGCGGGGTGTCCGCCGCGGCGCCGGATGCCAGCCTCTTCGCTGTTATCTCCCCAGGTGCCCCCCGGGCAAGAAGGTGGCGGCGGCGGCGGGGTGGCTGTGCTGCGCAGGGGCGACTCCCGGCCCGCCGGAAGCGCCCTGCGAGGAAATGGAGCAGGTCGGGCCGGAGCAGCAATGCGAAGCTGCACGTCGGAGGCTGCAGGAGATCGAGGACAGGTGAGCCGCCCGCCCGCCCTCCCGCCGTAGAGGTCGCCCTCCACCCGCTTCCCTCTCACGGGGCTTCCTCCTTTCCCCGCCAGGATCACCGAGGAAGAGGAGGAGGAGGAGGAGGAAGGACTTGCAGGTCGGCCCGAGGGCCACCTGCCCATCCTGGTCCTGTCCCACACGCTGCAAACCGGACTGAAGCAAGACTACGAAGGAAACTTGACCAAGAAAATCATTGAGTCCATGTACGTATAGCTTTGGCTCCAACAGGGAAAGGGGGGAATTGAATCCCAACTATCTTAGGAGCTGCCCCCTTGGGTGTGGGAGCACCCCTGCCCTAGAGGAAAGACCCGGAGCAGCCTGGGCAAGGGCTGTTCCCCAGAGATTGATTTTGACTGTAGTGCTTTCTCTCAGGAGCCGTCCATCAATGGAGCTGGTGCTTTGGAAGCCTCTCCCTGAATTTCTCCCTGAAAAAGGAGGTCTGGTTTCTATTAAGGGCTACAAGCCATTGGTCACAGAAAGACGCCTTGGAAAGCTAGCAGCCCTGGAAGCTGCCTTTCCCTCACAGACAGACAAATTCCTGACACAGTCTCAGCAAGCAGAAATGCCCTTGGCCCAGTTCGGGGCAGGTGGATCAAATGGGCCTGCAGAAGAAGAGATGGAGCTGTAGAAGAAGGGAACGAAGCAAGCTGCTTTATCTTTACTTTCTGGACAAGCAGAGATTGAAAGGTGCCGTTCTACAGGAATCCCCAGGAGCTTAGTTATAAATCTAGGATGTGGGGAAGGCACTTGGGGCTTCTGAAAATAAGCTGGCTGGTTCTTTGTGTGCACCTTGTCATCTTTTTACAGTGAGATGCCAAACCTTATGTCCCATCCTTTATGCCCACTAAACTGGAAGCCTTGTTTTCTTGGAGCACCAATCTAGAATTTGGGTTTTGGTTAAGAAATCTGATTGCTTGTGACAAATACAGCATTCATTTCTGCTTCAGCCTTTCAGTTTGAGCCCCTGTATTTCCCTTGTTCTAGCTATTGGCAACATATGTCTGTTCAGGCATGGGGATACAGATCCTTCTTCAACTCAAGATCAGTTGGTGGCACTGACTTGCAGGCTCTATTGCATGGAGTGATTTACATTGGCAAAAGGCCTGTGTCCCGTGGTTCCTCTCTTGAGAATCTCAGTGGGCACTAGTAGCACTGAGGGAAATAGATATGGTTGTGGCAACCTAGCTGAGCACAGCTGTTGGTAGATAATACGCCAGTTAAACATCAGACTGCCTAAGTTATCATATTATGCACTTTTTAGCTTCTTGTATGGTCAAGGAGCCAATTGGCAGCCTAGTGCTCTGAAATTCTTACAGCACCACTGTAAAATGAAGATTATTGCAGGAATTTTTATGTATAGGAAATAGTTTTTCTAGGAAAATCTCAAGCTTTACACACTGCCTACAAGAAAGCCAGGAAAGGCAACCTCAGTTAATTTTTTCCCCTGTGAAGGACAGTTGAAAGTAGCTTGTGCATTTTTAGTTCTATTTTCAATTTTCTGCAGATACTTTCTTGGTTCCAAAATGTATTAGCCTTCATAGCTAATAATCATTTTTAAACTTAACGTGGGGCAGATCTCAGCAAGTCTATTCTGATGTTTACAACTCAATTCTTTATATTGCTATTTCATGAAATTGCCTCTGCTTTTAAGTAACCTTTTCATTTAGCAAAAGCCTTTGTGCCTCTCTTCTGTTTGTTGAGTAGCAAGCCCATGTCACACTAAAAGCTTGTAATCTTAGAGGAGCCAGATAGCCCTTCTGTGTACTGAGATCAGAAACCAGCTCTCACAGGGAGAGCACAAGTGCTAAGCAATCACAGGGTGGGAATTGGCTTTGCCTACATCTTGTAAAACCAAGGAATCTATCTGCCTTTATCAGAGCTGTTCATGTTAATGTTGGTTAGATTTTGCTCTGGTGTAAGGAAAAAAGGACATCCGTTCCTTCAACTGCACATAAAGTAACATCCCCAATTGTTGGATTGGCCTTGAAATTACCCACCTCACTCATGGATAAAAAGATCTTTTTGAGTGTATCCAACCAACAGTGTAATTTTTTTGAGGGAAAGATGGGCACCCGTTTGTGGAACAAGAATTGCCTGAGAGATGGGAATTCTGGGAGTGTTTTTGTTGGATTGTTAATATAGAAACCAGCAACACTGCATTGTGGTCTGCCTGCCATTGGGCCAAATCACAATTTGTATGTCAATAAACACTTTTTTTTAAAAAAATGTAAATGCTGTACATTGCTAACAAATACTAAAGATTTGTCACTACCTTTTACTTTGCTGTAATCAATTCAGCTCTCAGTGGTTTACATAGTTGAAAGCTATTAAGATTACTTTTGAGGTTTCAAAATCCTTTTGACCTCTGTTGGATCTGTTTTGGGACTTTGTGAACTGCCAGGCTTTAGTCTTCTGTGTCAGGGAATGTACCAGGTGTCACATTCTTGTAAACATTCAAGATCAATCAACAACATATAACCATTGGTGATAGAGGTAGGTTGCTGTCAGGCTCTGGCTTACTGATTTGTTAGCTCGTAGCACAATACTAGTGGCAAAAAGCTCCTTCCAATGAACTGGAATGCTAAATTACTGTCAGATAATGATAGGCAACAAGTCCTTGTCTGATATATGTGGCAACTGAAGCAACTGAATTGCAAACAAGCAACACTAAGATTATTACATCACTCGGCCTGAACACCATCATGAGGAAGGGGCCTTGAAAAGGTAAGCTTGCCAGACACTTTCAGAAAGTTCTGAGGTAATTAAGCATTTTAGTCTTTAGCCAAGGAGTAGTTGTACACTGAGACCTTCTGTGGAAATCCCAAAATGATTTCGGCTAACCCTTCTCCATGCCTATAAAGAGAAAATGCCACACAGTCCCCCTTATGCAGGGATGGCAACTTTGCACTGTAGCCTTCTATTGCTCAGCTTGTGGAAGATTTAGCTGGGTGCTTCCTATGGTTCCCTGGTTCAAATGAGAACTTTTCTCCCTGCTTCTGCAATATTTGGTAGCTGCTGCGTCAACCCAGGTCTGTAGCTACCATTCCATCAGTGCAGAATTGAACCACTTCCACTTGTTAAGGACATTCAAGCATACAATTGGGCAGCAACCATCCAGAGAGACAACAGTATACAGTATCACTCATGAGCTAGTGGCAGGATGACAGACAGAAGAAAATGTGTTCTACACAGTTGCTACTTTTGAGTGATGGCTGCCCAAGGTTTAACCTTCCCTAAATTTTGCACACATCGTTGTTTAGATTGCCCTATTTCAAGTAATAGTTTATATGGCTAAGAATGCATGTGTATTTACCTATGGCTAGTTGAACTAGTTTGCCAAAGTAATATGAATGGCAGAGTTTGTGCAGAACCTTAAACGGACCAATACATTTCCCCTTCTTTCTGAATGATCTTCCACTGTTACCTCCCTCCCACTTTAGAACAAAGGAAGGAAAAAGATACGACTTGCTCTGCATTTTAATTACAGCAAGTTTAAATATGCTGCCAGAAAATAACTTTCAAAAAAAGCGGTACATGTATATTTACATAATATCTTGCCCCACCGCCTTTATTTACCCACTGAGGAGAAGCTACTGAGAGGGATTAGCAATTTCTCCCTAAGCAGGATCCCTTCTTTTTTTCCAACAAAGCTGACTTGAGTGGCGGTTTCATTTCTTGGAAGGGCTATGGAACACCTTGATGACATACAAAAAAAAGAAGCAATACTTAGGAATCTGATGAAACACTTTCAAGAGGAATCTTCTTCCAAAACACCTGTCCATCTGAGGGCTGTCCAAAAGCTATCACACACTGATCAGCTGAGGAAAGAGCTCCTTGGCAAAGGCCTCCTCCCAGCTGCAATCTGTGTCCACAGGAGAGGACAGGTCACTGAACGGGGAGGGTGAGCCTTCATAGCCCGAGTCACTGGCTGCATCCAGCAGTGAGGGAGGCCTCTGGTCTGAGGAGAGCAGATGGGAGAGGCCCAGGTCAGGCAAAAGGGTATCTGCAGGCTCCTCCTTCACAGAGACAGGGGCCTGCAGGGGAGGAGAAGCCACCACTTCCTCCAGGAGTGCACTGGTCTGGGTGGCTGCTTCCGATATGATCTCCAGGAAGAATGGCTTGGTGTATTCATGATCAAACCTGATCAGTTCATTAATGGCGTCTTGCTTGAGTGGTGCAGGCCCCAAGGAGGGGCTGGTGGAGGCAGGTAAGGGAACAGCTGCTTCTCCACACACTTCCTGCTGCAGCTTTTCAAAGAAGGTTGCCTGGGAGCTGCTGCAGTGCAGGAACATGTTTGGATCCAGACTGTCCAAAATGCCCAAGAGGAGATCAGACTGTAAGAGAACAGATACCCACCCCAATTTTGCTGGTTAGCACAGGTGATTCAGAGAATCCCCCTGACATTCGCTTCTAGCTGGACACTGAACAGGAAGGTTAGCAGCTAATTTTACCCACCTCAGCATCTGAAGAAGCCAGGCTGTCTGTGCCCAGAGGGAGGCCACCTTCATCCTCTTCCTCTTCCTCTCCCCCACTGTGGAGGCAGAAGACTGCTGGGCCTGTCCCTGCTGCGGAGGAACACGTAGTCTAAGTGCTGCGGACTCAGAGGACCCGGTCTCTGCCCCCCCAGGGGCGATGCTTGCTGTCTCCTCCTGCGTTTCCACCTGCGGGGAAGGGTCCTTGGTGAGACGGGCGGAGGCAGGCGCCCTGGCGGGGCTCCTCGGCCTGCTGACCCTCACCTTCAGCGCGGGAAGTCCGAGACGGAGGCGCAGATCGTGGTTCTCGCGCGCCAAGCTGTGGGCGCGCTCCTGCAGCCGCCGGTTCTCGGCCACCAGTTTCTGGTTCTGCGAGAGAAAGAAAGAGAGCGAGCGCGCGTGGCGGTGAGAGAGCGCCAGCCGCCCGGCAGCCCTCCCCGCCCCGCCCGGCAGCCCTCCCGCCCCACCTCGGCCTCCAGTTCGACGGCCTGCCGCTCCAGCTCGCCCATGCGCGCCTTCTTGCGGTCGCGCGCGCTCTGCGCCGCCACGCGGTTCTTCAGCTTCCTGGAGGGGAGACAGAGAGGCGGTGAGAAGCGTTCGCGTGGCGCCACGCAGCGCCCGGTCCCCGGTCGCGGCCTCACCGGCGTAGGGCCTTCTCTTCTGGGCTGAGGTGCGCCAGGCGCTGCCGCTTACGGGGCGGCGGGGAAGGCGAGGGAGCCCCTGGAGCAGGAGCAGGAGCCGTCGATGCGGCCGGCAGCAGGAGGAGCCTCGGCGGCGCTGCAGGGCCCGGCAGCGGAGCCATCCCGCCGGCGGTGGCGGCCTCGGCCTCCTCCTCCTGCTGCTTCACGAACGACGATCCACCGAAATGAGCGGCTCCGTTGGTGCGTCGAACCGTCTGCGCTTGCGGTCTGCCGCGGCTCCCGGGCATATCTCACGCCGTGGCTCTCGTTGATTGGCTGCCTCCAGGAGACACCCCCCACGGGGGCGCTTGCCGATTGGCCTCTAGCAGGCAGGGGCGGGGCGCGACTGCGTGAGGGGAGTCTGACGCAAGCCTCTGGCCTTTGCCGAGCGCCACGCTGGCCGGCCGCACTCGCGCAGTCGCAGAACGACGCCGGCGAGGGAGAGCGGGGGCGGGTTTGCTGGTGCGAGCGAGCGTTTCCTTCCGCCCTCGGTTGCGTCGAGCAGGGCTCGGGCGGAACCCGCAGGAGCGGTTCCTTCGCGGAAGTGGCGGCCTCCGCACATCCTGACTGGGCGGGGTTCCCTGTAGCCAGCGATGCGACTGGGCTTAGTCCGGGGAATTCCAGCTCGTTACGCACCGGGGACTTTTCATAGCTCCCGATGTGTGACAAGGAGAACCCCAAATTAACCGCGTGAAGGAAAGTGCAGCGCGGTGAAGAGCGCAGCCGCTAAACTTCGGGGTGGCAAGTGCAGGCGGACTCCCCGCCCCGAGCTCTGCCAGCTGCCGTCATAGCAGGAGGTCTACCCGGATGTGGCCTCGTGCGGGCCGTGACTCGGGCTCAGCCCGCGGTCCGCACCCCCGGGGGACGCAAATGGCATGAGTCGGGGGCGCTTCGTCAGTCCTTGTTGCTGCAGTGGGTGGGCGCCGGGATCTTCGCGCGCTCCGACCCAGCAGAAGCCTCCGACGGACGAGCGAGAGAGGAAGGCAGGGGCCTTAGCGTCTGGCCCTCAGCCGTCGGATGTCGCTGCTGGGCTTTGAAATGGGCGGCGGATCCTTGGAGCTTAGTGCCCGCTTCAAAAGCAGCGATCTCTCTCAATTCTAAGCCAGCGTTTTCAGACTATATTTTATTGAAAACGCCACCCGTGTTCCTATGAGCTCTGGTTTGCCTACTTGACTCGCCATTTATGGTGTTTCAAAGAAGGTTTAAAAAATTGCAAAATCTAAATGAACCGGGGAAATCTGCTTAGCCATCTTGCAGCCCCTGAGCAGAAGCCACTTTTCAGCCAATGCTGGTTGTTTGAAGCAGTTGAACACGGCTAATGGCACTTCTCCTCCCCTTCGCAGCCACCGCCCCCCCCCCCCGGCACTACCAGGCTTCTGTAGCCATGGGGCTCTGGAAGGCTACCCCCCTATCGATCTAATATTTCCTCCACGTATTTACAGCCCGCCCAATTTTAGTGGGGGGAGCGTACAGCTCCCCGAGGAAACAGGGCGAAACAAGAGGGCTACGGCGCCGTATCCGGCACGCAACCTGAGCGGCTTTCCGCCGGCAGGAGTCGCTTTTTAGCAACCAGCAGAGGGAGCAGATGACTCGGGCAGCGAACCGAATTGGTGTAAGACCACAAGCTGCCCGCAGGCCTTCCCTCCTCTCAACTTCCTTCGGGTTTGATGGCCAGCGCTCTTCTGGCGCCCGGGGAGTCTGCGGGTCCCGCGCTGGAAGGGAGCAGACTTCCGCCTCCGGGACCTTCGATGTCAGCAGGTCCGCACCGCAGCTTTCTGCCTGCTGGCCGGATAAGGGGTGCCGCGATGGCCCGTTCCGGGAGCCTGCAAGTTCCGCTGCTAAGAGCCGGGAACTGCAACGGGGGTCCGTCCCGCGCTTAAGTCGGCCGCTGGGCAAAGTGGTTCGGAAAGGCCGCCCGTCAGGGCAGCTCCATCCCCTTCTTGGCTCCCCTCTCCATTTTCTGATAATTCAGGTTTGCTTCACCCAAACCCCTTGAAGTGGCTCCCCTTGAATGTCCGCGGGGCAGTTGCGGAAGAAGGACGGGAATCTAAAATTCAAATTCAAACCTTTATTGTCAGAGCACAACATGTGTGCAAAGAGATTGGCTGAGCCTCCCTCCAACGCTGACGCTACAGCTCAGGACGGGGGTTGGGGACCCGAGCTCTTTGGCAGGAGGAGGCGGATACCCCAAAGCTGCCTTCCTACCCAGCTTTCTAGCCAGCTACTGGGCCACCGACTGCAAGGTGGGCTTCCACCGCCGGATCCCCCTCACTCTGGAGGACCCCTGCCGGGAGGCGCAACCCCCACGTTCGTCGTTTTCGGGCCGGCCGAGGCTTCGGCTCCCCCAGCCCCGCCCAGACGAAGCCACCCGTCAGGTCCCGCGCTGCCTGGCCAGGAGGCGGCGGCGAGGCGGGCCGGGCCCGGCCGGAGGCGGGGACAGCCGCAGCCCTGTCACGTGGAACAGATGAAAGGGACGCGGCGGCTGGGCCGGGAGGAGAAGGAGGAGGAGGAGGGAGCTGCCGCCAACCCGCCGCCCCGCCGCCGCCGGGATACGACGCTAGGCCAAGGCGGAGGCCGGGCAAGAGGAGAAGCCACCCGGCGGCGCCCGCGACGCGATGCGCGACCCTGGCCGGGCGCCCCCCTCGCCACCGCTGCCCGGGGCCGGCGCGGGGGGCCCGGCGGCGCGATGAGGCCGGGGCCGGGGCCG